TTGATAAACAAATTATGTGAGATAAACAGTAAATAAATTTAGAAAACACTATTTTAAATAGAAGTGATCACTTTATAGACAGACAATATACTAATTGTAAATTATGCTTAAATATTCATTAAAGCCAAGTACACTTGAGTCACTCACCAGAATGATTATTATTTGTTATATTTAGAAGTATTCCATTTAAAATATAGATAGACTATTTCAAAATTTTCATGAATAAAAGGCTTCTCAGTTATTTAAATTCAACTTTTCTACAATAAGTATATATTTTAAAATATAAATTCTGGTGATCAGTGTTATTTTTTGCTTTTTTCTCTGATATTCCTGAAGGTAAAAGCAGCAAATGAACTCTACAAAGTTTGTGTAACAAATGTTGAAAAAAGACAAAATGATCTAGAAAACACCAAAAGAGAAATTTTAACACAACTCAGGACACTTGTTTTCCAGTGTGATCTTATCCTTAAAGCTGTAAGTGATTTCTTCAGTATTTTTGAAGGCAAGAGGGGAGAAAAAAGTTTTCTTATCTGCAGAAGGGACAGGGATGCCTGATAAGTTGATTCTTATGATTTGAGAACATATTTGAGATTGGCTTTTAATTTTCATTAGTGACATAGTTTGATTTATTTTTGATCTGTTTCCCTTCCATGTCCCCTAGATTCATGATTTGCTTGGTTAAAACTGAACTGTGAGAGTTTGAAATTGCCTCTAAATAATTGTCTTTTTGCCTTGGATGATAAATTTGATTTTACTTTGCAACTTCTGTCAGCTGAGTGACAGAAGAGAGATCTATTCTTCAAAATTTGAGTAAACTAAATATTAAAATTGAACCCAGTGACATATTTGAAGACAAAGCATTCAGGCTGCATTTGTCTTCATTACCTCTTTAAAATGTTTTTTTTTTGTAAAATATTTACATATCCAAAACTTTCTTGGTGTACAGTTTATAAGTTTTAACATACATATAAATTTGTGTAATCATCATCATGGTCAAGATTTGAAACAATTTCATCACTTCAAAGATATTATTTTGCTGGTCACTGTATTGTGTAACTGTAATCCCAGTGACTCAGGAGGCTGAGGCAGAAGGATAGCAAGTTCAAGGCCAACCTGGGCAACTTATCGAGGTCCTAAGCAACGTATTGAGACCCTGTCTCAAAATAAAAAGGCTGGTGATGTAACTCAGTGGTAGAGTGCTCCTGGTTTCAATCCCCAGTTTAAAACACACACACACACACACACACACACACACTTGCCATACCAGCAACTCAGAAGGCTGAGCCAGGAGGATCTCCAAGCTCAAAGCTAGCCTGGGCAACTTAATGAGAACCTAACTCAAAATAAATGGCCTTCGAAAGTATATAGCTCAGTGGTGGAAACTCATCCTAGCATGTTCAAGAAAGATCCTGGTGGGTTCAATCCCCAGTGCCAGAAAAAAAATTATTTCATGCTATACCTTTTTACTCAAACTCTCCACCTTGCCCTAACCTCTGGCAAGTACTGTTGTGTTCTCCATCTCATTACTATCATGTCTTCCAGAATGTTATATAAATGTAATCATATAGTAGGTAACCTTTGGAAATAGGTTTTTGCACAGCCTAATGCCTTTGAGATTCATCAATGTTATTCATGTATCAGTAGTCCATTTCTTTGTATTGCTGAGTGGTAGTCCATTATATGACTATACCACAGTGTTTTTAAATTTACCAATTGGACATTTACGTTGTTTCTAGTTTGGGGTAATTATGAATAGAGTTACAAGAATATTT